AGATGTCAGTTGTTGTTTCATCTAGAAAGTCACAAATACTCTATTGTCTATGAATTATAGTTAAAATAGAAAGATTCTTAAATAAATTTAGTTTTCGAATCAATCAGAACTAATTTTAAGCAAGTTAAATTATTGAGTGTTTATAGTCGAACTTTAATTTTCAGTAATAATATAAATTATCGTTCTATTCTTCAATTTTTCTCTTGAAGAAATGTTTCTTTAGTTTTTTTTTTCGATTTTGCGACAATTGTCAATTTAGTTTTGCCCACAGTTACAGTTTACTGTTTGTTTCTTCTGAATAGATAAATCAATCTCATCTACATTATTTTATCTAATTATTTTCATTGATATCTACTTTTAATAATCATCAGAATCATAAACTCAATCATCCGATTTTATTGTCAAACATTTTATGTGAGAAAAATCTATTTTTATTAAAATATAATATTAGCTCATTTTTTTGAATATGTCATTTGTTCAACTCTTGCAAATATACTCATTCTTAGGTATTCACCATCGATGAAATTCAGAAATTGTGATATATTATCATTTAGATCTCCTAATATTATATAAATATATTTCTTTCGAATAATTGAAAATTTAGATAAAATTCAAACTAATTAGTTTGTATCATAAATATTCTCTCTGTTATTTTATTAAAATCTTAAGAAAATTTTATCTATCTCACCAAAACAAACAATCTTTACGTTTGGATACTTGGAATAATTAATTTTTCCAAAGTTATTCAAAAGAAAAAGAGAACTTTTCAAGGTCACGATCCTTAAAAGGATGATGATGATGTTGAAGCATTGAAGAACGCTGGTAGAATTGGTTAATAATTATATCAATACAATATAGCTTTTATGCCTAAATGTTTTGATCACTAGTAAATTTATCGATAAAAATCTTAAATAAAGTATTCATTTTCTTCTGAAAAGTCACAATTTTTATAAATTTGCTTATAGACTCATATAAAAGATGTGTTCTTTCTTAACTACTGCTTTCTCATGTATTGAGATGAGTTCAGTCTAATGATAAAATTAATTTTATTAACTGTTGTCTTTTTTTACGAAGATTAATGGTTCCACAAACAACATATCCCTTTTGATTTTCATATCAAATATGATTGTTGTTGCTCTTTTCAACAAAAAACAATTGCCTTTGGTCAATTCTATATTCAAGTATCAAGCTTGTTTGTGTCACCTACATGATTATAAGTATAGCTATGCCCATTGGTATCATAATAGTTCATTCTAACACACAACACACATTAGGTATTTTACTTATTGTTTTACATGTGTTGTATTTCTACGATGAATATAAGTAACAATATTTTTAAATTTTTAGTTAAATAAAAAGTAAGAGAGAAAAGTTAAAAATTCTTCATATTGATCTGATTATCTATAGATGACTAAGTCAAATTGTTTGATCTGACTCTTCTATTTTTTTTTCATAGATCTTTTAAAGTTCTACAAAAGATTTCTTTTTTATCTATCGCATTCGTATAGTTTTTGGAATAATAAAAGGCGATTGAAAATTTTCGATTCTAATCAGTAAATGAATGGTAATTTATCGAAATATATGATTTTATAGAAGAAAAGAGACAGAGAGAGAGAGAGAGAGAGAGCGCTTTATCTAACAGAGCTGGAACCGGTAAGAAATCGAAAAACCGGTCCGGTCCGGCGACCGGACCGGACCGGTTACAGAATGCTCTTGAACCGGTGAAATTCCGGCAAATCAGACGGCATACTGTATAACTGACTGCGTCAAAATCGTCCCAGATACTGGAAAACACGTGGAGAACGATGAAGTCAAATTCTACTCTTCACAGCATAGATTCAGACAGATTACGATTTAAAATTTTCTCATTGGATCCTAAGAAAAGTATTTAGAAATATAGTTTGAAGAATTTCAATTCTTGACCAAGTATAATTAAAACTTGGAGTGAGATTCTAGAAAAGATATCCCTGATGTCTGCAAGTCATGGAACATTTTAATTTTGTGAATAAGATCTCGAGAGTATGATGCAGTTTTGCGTGATAGTGTCTATTGTTCCTTGGTAAATTTACCGACTTAAAAGGATATGCAAAATCGAAAATTAGTTTTCAGTACTCTGCTTTTCTAGTATAAGTTATGCTTGTTCACGTTTTATTATCAAATCGTCTTTTCATCATTGCTCATAAAAACAAAATGACAAAACAAAAAATATAAATAAAAGATGAGATATACAACAATAGACAATCATATTGAAAAAAAAATAGTCAATTTTATTCCAGTGTTAATAATAATGGTATTAAGATATATATATATTGTGTATCGATGGGAAACCATTTCATCAACTTCGTACTTGATGGAAAAAACTAAAAATGAACATCTTTTTTACAAAAAAACAGAGAAAATAAAGATAGTTATTTTTAATTTTCAACCGGTGAATTTCCGCTATTTTCCGGGCCGGTTGATTTTCCAAACCGGTCCGAACCGGTTCCAGCGCTGTTATCTAATAGGAACATACTTTGAAATGCATCAATATACTCCATTGCTTTTCTGTATTTGATCAATGTTGAGTAAATAATTTCATCTTATACGTTTGAGAAAAATTCTTTTTCATAATATTAGTATGTCTTTGACTCCCGCAAAGGTTTTATAGAAGACGTATAATTTCAATGAAATAATATTCATTTATCTAGAATTTTCTATTGAATTTTAAAAAGAATAATAAAAGAACTTTAATTAAACCTGGATAAATCGTCGAAAACTAATTCTATCTAAGCAAGTAGGATACGAGACAACAAATACCAAAAAAGGAAAATTTTCAAACATAATATTGTCAATATGAATAACTTTAATGAATATAAAGAATGTTACAAAATTAAAGCATAATTAGTTAATATGATGAATATCATTCCATTGAAAGAACAAATTTTGTATTTAACTCTTGTCGGATAAAAACACATAGAGTTTTTATGAAAAAAAATTCTTCTCAATCGAAAGTAAGATGAAACAAGTCATTGAAGATTAATATGCTATGAAAATAACATTGGACTAGATCGATGCATTCTACAAAATGATATATTTCAATCAATGAACAGTTTATAAATTGATTATCTTTTTAAATTAACTTGTCATATATATTTATCCACATAAAAACGGCAATGAGACAAATCCTTGTAAAGTATTTTACATCAAACAATCATGCTGTAACTGAGATTTTCTATACTGAAAAAAAAACTGGTTTTGGTGTGGATGAGGTCAGAAAGAGGAGATTTACCCACATCCCTTTTTTCTTTGACTCTGTGTAGAAGATGCAAGAACGAAAACAAAATGTTAATTAACAGCTGGTCATTTCTTTATATAGTTATAAATTACTTTGTATTTAAGTGACCATTAATATTTCTCATCTTATATTCATATATACGTTAATATCGTTTTATATAAATTAGCTTTATCCATGAAAGAGTCTCGAAGATTTATATATACAAAATAATAAGAACGATAATTTTCTAATAAAAGAATATGCTTTGCTTTAGTGAAAGTCTAGTTTAAATATGTTACTGTTATTGAACAATGAAATTTTGTGATAAGTTTAAATAAAATATTTTACATTATTCCTTTTCTCTCTCTTTTTAATGTTTCAAAAATATTAATATACGGTTAAATATGAAAACATATAATTCTTTACTGTCAGAAGACTCAAAAATAAAATACATTCCAAGTTGTTTAATTTCGATCAGTTATATGTGGGAAAGAAAATAGAACAAGATGATAAAGTGAGGAGGAGTTTAAATAGCGTTTGATGTCAAAATGTAACTGGAAATAAATTGATTATTAACAACAAAAAAGTATTTTTTGGTCAAATATTAATGTTATTGTTTTCATGTAGGAGTCATTTTTGTATACATTCTAGTGTATAACTAGCAAAGAATATTAGTATAATTTAATATCAAACACAGAAGATCTTTTCATCTGATTTAACTTAGAAAACAACATTTTAAAAGTTTTGCTTTATTCATATTCAGAATTTCTTATGATTCTTTCACGAAACCAGGTGTAAGTACAAAGAAATAAAGAAATATTGACAGTTTCATTTTATTATAATCATATCTTTTTCTCTGTTTATCAATAGTTCTAAAAGTTGCTTAATAAGAAAAAAAAACACTTGATAAATCTCTTGTTTTGTTTTGCATCATAATAACTTGTTCTTCATCTAATGATTTATTTTTAAATAGATTTTATTTCATCAAGTTATTAACAATGCTTTTGAAATTAATGTGTTGTTATTAAGCGCACACGTACGCTAGCGACACTTCTCATGCATTAATATTTTTTACTATGCACTTTACACACATAAAAGAGGCTTGCTTCATACTCTTATTGGGTGATTAATTTCTTAGTGTGGACCAGGACCACTGTTGAATTAAAACAGAATTAATTCTGACGAATTTTTGGTCTGTTGGGGGTCTAAAACAGAGTTAAGTTAATTCAATTCTGTAGTACGTTTGACCCCAAAAGACATTATAGAAGTTATTTGATTGGTATGTGTGAGTAGATGAGTAAACATAAATCTATCGAGAAAACATTATACTAGAGATATAGATTGATTGCCAACCAATCTAAACTAATTCGTTCAGTTGATTTCCATAAGAAATAATAAAGAGTGCTTTCAATCGATAAAAGAAGTTTTGGTATCAAGTTTGTGAATAACATAGATAAACCGGTTTTTTTTAAAATTAAATTTGAAAAAAAGCTAGAAAAAAATTCTTCTTTTCAATATCATTATATATTTATTTATTTCTATCTATCTTTTAGATTATGTCTATTGTGAAAAATCTAGTCTTTTTTTTAATCTTATTAGTCAAACAGAGTATAACAAATGATGAGTTTGATCGTTTACCAAAGCCTCCAGTAAATTATCGTCATTTTGTTGAACAAGCTGGTAAAACTTACAAAATTTTGGGTTCGTGCAGTGAAGTGAAACTCACTGAACCTATGTCTCGTTGTGTTATACAAATAGGTCATAAATATATGCTTAAATATATGTCTATTAATTTTCCTCAAGAATCAATTGGAAGTGGAGTTATTATATTTAAATCGATCGAAAATTATATATCTTCTATTATTATTTTAACAACATTTCATATAGTTGTACCTCAATTGGATTTAAGTTTCTTCACGTTTGCTGCTATTACTTTTTTAACGACATTAATCATTCTAATAGGATCGCTTATCTTTTATTCCTCGATTATTTCTCAACAACTATTCCGAGTGTTTTGTGGTTTACTTATATATATGATAATTTGCACATGCTTTATGTATTATATTATATTAATGATTTATCCATTTCTATTTCAATCGTTGTTTCGAATTCGTTTAGTACCTGGAGGAAAAAATGATTTCAATATGGGATCATATTCAATGGGTTGTCAGTTAATATCATCAAGATTAATATTGTCAAAAGATTGGTGGGATGATATAGGTTAGGAGAATTATTATTTGCATTTTGTTTTGCTCAATCTTGATAAATTTAATTCAATAGCGTAAAAATCTATATATTGAAAACGAACGAATAACTTCCTATGAAAACTCATCATATTTCAATCGAACTCTGAGAACATTTTCTATTTTTTCTTTTCAACGAGAGAAATGAATCTATTTGAAACAACTAAAGAGTAATAATATTAAAATATTTATGTCTAACAATTTACTCATTGAAAAGAGAACAAAAATTTAGAAAGATTTTCTTTTAATAGGTGAAAGAAAAACGGGTAAAATTTAATATAAAATAGTTTTTCTCATTAAAAACATAAACAAAAGAATAAATAATTGTTCATTTAAATTAACTTGAAAAATTTCGATCCTTAATTTTAAATATAATCAATTGTATCAGAAATATACTGATGATTTTTTCTTCAATATCAATAATTGAATCTGAAAACAAAAATTAAATATACGTAAGAAAAAGTCAAAGTCGTTAATTTAAAAAAAATACATTTCGATAAAATACAATCTAAGCATAAGAACATGTTTTTAAATAATCTATTGATTTTATCCTAAAAACAATTTTTATAACATTTATCTATAAACAATTTGTTAATCGAGATAGAAGTTTATTGGTGTACTTGTTTTAATATTCTATTGAAACTAATTTTTAAATAAGAAAATACCTATTCAGATAAAGACAACTTTTTCTTGGATGTCAACAATGAAAAAAAGGAATTGTAGACGTGTAAGAAAACTATAAATAAATTTATTTTAAAAAAACTAAATCTTATTTTTATTCTGAACGATATAGATCTTCTTGAGTCTCAATTTTTAAATAATAACATATAAGTAGGATATTATTATATGTTAACAAGTTCATAGATTAAACCTAATAATAAAAAAAAACCATCTATTCAATAGGATTTTTTTTCCTACTTTGATTTGATCCGTAAAAGAAATAATTAACAAAAGGTAAATCTCTTTTCGAATGAATTAGCCAAGATTTCTAAAAATAACTGAGCACAATCTTTCAGTAAATAGATTATTAGTTATTCTATTTTATAGTCAAAAGCAAAAAATCATTTTTATTTATTTCAAAAGAAAAAGAAGCGAAATAAGTTCATTGAAGATTGAAATGATTTGTTTGTTTTTTCGTTGAAATTTGATTATGATTAAATATGTTTCGATAATTCTGATATTTAATACATGTATAGAGTAAACAACTCAAAAAAGAAAATTTATTTTTAAAATTTCGATTTCTTTTATCAATTATCGACCACACTTTTCAAATTTAATCTAAACAAACGAAAAAAACTTAATAAAAATATATATTTATTCGATTATTATTTTAAATGAAGGTCAATTTAATAATGGAGAAATAAAAATGATAATATCATTTTACAAATCATTTTTATATACATTTTCTTCGACTTTATTTAGAAGTATTTCATTATAATAATAATTGAAGATAGTTGAATGTTGTAATGATGTACATGTGTTCCATAATTTCGATGCTCCTGTTAATATACCAATAAATTCCCATTGATTTCTATTTGATGATAAAAAGCAAGGACCACCACTGAAACCATAAGTTGATGGAGTATCTATAAACAACTTTCGACTATCAGTTAATCGTAATTGTCCAGTACAATTCATGAATTTATTATTTAAAAGAAAATTTTCTGGTGTTTTACCATGAATTGCAGGAATACTTATTAAAGGTGATGATGAGGAAAAAAATGGATCTATTATAAGATCAAATGAGATGGGTGGTCTACCAACAAATCCAATTACACTTATAGATGAACCAGATGATATTGATTGACTATTGTTTAATGCTGCTTGACATACCTCAATGTAATTGAACATATTTGTTTCAATATTTGAACATTTTATAATGGCTAAATAGAAAAAAAAAGAATTTATTTCTGAAATTTTCAATATTATTTATAATAGAAATTGAAAGTGAAGCTTTACAAATTAGAATTATTGAAAAACTTTAACAGAAAATAATTAAATAAGAAATTTCTAAAAGTTAAATATTAAATTGAAACAGCATTTCGAAAGAGAAACAAAAATCTATCGATTTTAAACAACTCTACAATTAACATGCTTATTTAGTTTTTATTGAGTATTCTAATATATAGAATTTATTCCAAATATTTTTTAATTTAACCATTGAGATAAACGATGAAAAGAATTTATCCATCCAATTATTGGAAACGTCTATCACTTATGATATAACAATAATAAAAACTCCTATTCAAGTTTCATCATTAAATTCAAATATGAAATTACTTAGATAAATTTGATATATTCTTGACAAAAAAATCTTCGAAAAGACTTTCGAAGATTTTTTTTTTCTTTAAATTTTAATTGAATTTAAAAACACCTTTAGAATGACTGTAGAAATAATCATTTTAAAAATGTTCATAATAAACTAAAAATTTCTTAATTTGAAAATCTTAACGATGAATAGACTTTAAGTTATCGATGAAATTGAGTTTCTCTGACAAAATAAGAAAAAAAAATCTGCTATGATTAACGAATAGGCGTGTTACATGAGAACACTATCTTGAGAATGGCTGAACGTATCGAGCTGTCCTTTGGTTTATAAAGGTTTCTCGACGCACTCTTTCTTTTTGTCTCCAGAAAGTTTTCTCCAAAACCCTCGAAAGTTGGTTTTCTAGAAACCAGAATCCTGGTTTTCTAGAAAACCGATTTTCGAGGGTTTTGGAGAAAACTTTCTGGAGACACAACGAAAGAGCACGTCGAGAAACTCTTATATTCGAAAGGACAGCTAGATGCGTTCAGCCATTCTCAAAATAGCCTAGACCAACTTACTCATGTAACACGCCTATTCTTGAACTCTTTACGTAGTTGACGAATTTTCTCGAAAATAATTTAATTTCAATTTTATAAAAACATTTTTTTATTTTTATACATATGCGTCTTGAGAAGTTTTTCAAAACTTTAATCGAATGTAAACCTTTAGATCGCTCAAAAATCGATCTCGACTTATAAACATTGGATTGACATGACATTTTCAGGATATGTTGGGACTGCGGTGGAAAATAATTATTCTATCTTCGTCGAATGAGTTCGAAACAGAAAATGATTCAAACATATGTGTACAATTCTAGATGTAAAATATCATTCTAATTAAATAGTTTATTAACGAATCGATTAAATGCCATTGGACACGATAGTCATGTCAGTTAGCAATTATCTTAGTTGATAATTATCTGACATGGTGATCAACTCTGTTAGTTAGAAATTCATATGATTGATAAATGATGGCAACAAAACTAGGATGTGGGGTGTGGGTGTGGGGTTTAGCCTTCTCAATGGTTAAGTAAATGAAAGAAAGAAAATTAAACTTTTTTTGTCAAATTTGTTAAAGTCAGTCGCTTATGCTGAGGTTTGACTAGTATAGACAAAACTGGGTCGCAGCGAAATGTACCACTAGCATAGTTATTAGTCCTCAGCTAATTTGAATGAATGTGGTGCTCTACGAAGAAACAGTTTATAGAAAAACAGCAGTTGAATACACATTCAGTGTTTCTTGGGATTTTTGTGTCTGTTTCGAAAAATTCCTTTGCATTTTTTATGCGAAAAGAAATGCGTTCTCAGACTTAGAATAAGTGCTTCATAGAACACACATTGGCGTGTGTGTCCAAAGGCGTACTGTTCTCAATTATGAGTGAGATCTTTAATGATAGAAAGGTGTCTGAACTTCTAGAAGAAAGTACAAAGGCGAAGAGACCTTTAATTAGTGCACAACGTGATTTTATTGAATATGTTTCTATTTTAGAATGATCACGTTATGTGTGCTGCGTGCGAATGCGCACTGCGTTAATTAGGTCCTATGATCACGGGAACGTTTTTTTTTCGCATAGAAAATTTAAAGAATTTCTTTAGAGTATGCGGCAAAAGAACACTGAAGTGACTTCACGACATGTTTTCAATAAAGCAACGATTTTTTTAATATAAACTGTTCTTTCATACTAGCTATTTCACATGATTTTTCTAACTCGAAATTGACACATCGTTAAAACGACGTAAGAAAATATTGTTCTTACTAAACCTATGTATTAATATGGTTACAAATAGTAAAAAAAATCAACAAGCTGCAAAAATTATTTGAAAAAAAAACGATTTTCAGAGGGGGGTCTTCTAATGTGTCGATGGCTTTAGTCGTGCTAGAAGGAAAATGCGTTTAAATTAAAACAGATTCAATCAAGAGTAATAAATAAAAGCAAGAAAATTCAACAATAAAACACTAAAACAAAGAATATATCTTTTCTTTTGCCTACTGGGAATCTTAAGCCTGAGTAACTGTAAGCTGGGAATAACCAAGTTCAGACTGTACATTCCCTATTTAGAAGTGAGCTTTACACTGCAAGATAAATCACCGTTTATTTGAGTTGTTGGCTCACTATCTTCAAAATGTTTGTTTTTAAATTCTAAACCTAGTCTACATTGCATCTTGAAAATGCTAAGAGTTTTCTATATAAAATTCAAAAGTGGTCTGAAATCGATTTATCAACGCGCTACTCTGTAAAAAAAAGGAGTTTTGCAGAACGTACCCGATAGCAGAACCTCGAAAAGGGCTCTGCTATCGGATACCGTTCTGCAAAAACTTCTTTTATTTTACAGAGTACGGGGACACAGCGTAGTATATGAAGTTTTAAATTGAAGTACAACTCATTATATTTATTTAGGTACTGTCACGACAACAATTGCAGCACCTCCAACTAAAACACTATCATATACAATGCTCACTTTCGTCAATCGATCAATATCGAACAACTACTTCAAATTATTTGAAATATTCGAATAGTATCTTTGTCCTGACTGTGCAGGCATTATGGCATCATTATTTGAAATAGCAGCTGTGATGTTTTCCTGGCAGTCATTCATTTAGTTGGATGGATATTTACTTGAATATAGCCACATATCTTCAGATTATCCATTCAAAGATATTATATTCAGATTTTACGGTACATCAGAAGATGCCTGAATGGACAATTAGTTCTTATCATTCATGCTTCAAATTCTTCTTCAGCGCATTTTCAGCCATGCTACATTGTTTTGATGTAGCCAATATATGAACAGAGTGATTGTAGTAACTATTTAGCTCTAACCTTTTCAGTGACCCTGGTTTTTCTTCAAATGAATTACTTAAGCCAAGCAAGATATTCGAACAGAATCGTATGATTTAACTCGATTCATTTGTCAATACTTTTCTGATGTGATCGAGTTGCACACTTTGCTTCGCATTTAGCAATTTACTTGAATGGAACCCTGATTAGAACGCTTCATCTGTCAATAGATCGTTGTTGATGTGATCGAGTAACATACTTCGCATTGAAGTGAGCGATATACTTGAATGGAACCATCATTAGAACGATTTATCTGTCAATGGATCTTTGTTGATGTGATTGAGTTACATACTTCGCTTCGAAATGAGTGATATATTTGAACAGAATTATTTTCAGAGTGATACATTCGCCATGTATCTCTCGCCAGTATGTATAATGTTTAGTAGTTTATTTCAAACTCATTCCCAAATCACGTCCTAATGACTAGTAGAGGACTGTTAAGAAGGTAAAGAATGCATGAAATTAGAGCAAGTAGATAGTAGGCGTCTCAAGAACTGACGCTTATCCTTGTTTTCTTCCCTACTCATAGCCTTGCACCGATGCTAATTCAGATTCTTTGATTGAAACCAACAGAATCGACCAGTATTGGAACAGAAACTGTTTGCAATCCACCGAAACTGCAGATGAAATTAAAAAGGGTGTGGGTGGGTGTAGGTGTGGGTGTGGCTGTGGGTGTAGGTGTGGGTGTGAGTGTAGGTGTGGGTGTGAGTGTGAATGAAATCTAGTATCCGTATCCGTACCCACACCCTCATCCACACCTACCCACACCCAACACCCACATCCACACCCACACTCTCACACCGGTGTATTGTCAAAATCATATAAGCTTGAATTTAAGAAGGAATTTTCAAAGAACTTTCATATTTCGAGCAATTTGTTAATTTTAGTAGGGAATATTTATTCATATTTTTTTAAATATAGTATCAGACAATAAACTAATTATCCTTTTCAAAATTGAAAATGTTTTTCATATGGAATTTTTTTCATAGAAAGGTACAAAAATTTTGAAACTCATCTATATGAAACACATGAAGAATTCAATGAGTGTATAAACTCAGAGACAAGAGAGTCTTCATAAAAATTAATTTTTTATTATAATATTGTATAAATGTTGAAGTGTTTTAAAAAACATGACGTGCCAGATATTTTGTCCAATAATATATAAAAAAATACGGCAAATTGATTCGTGTAATAAACTCATTAATGAAAAAGATCAGATATAGTTCTTGGAATTGTTCATAGAACGCTCGTCTACATATATATTGGTTGAAGGTAGAATGAAAGCTCTTTATTCTGAACAAAGAGAAAGAGAGTTGCTACTTTAAAAGGATGAAATATCTCGCAAGACTACTTGATCATTTTGTACATGTTCAGAATTTTCGTTTGAATTTCTTTTCGAGGAGTATTTTGCATTTGTTAATGATTCTTTTTTATGTATAAATTTTGATAAATAATTTTTAATATTACGTCTTTTAGTCCATAAATATAATAATACCGTTATAAAAGTAATAACTGCAAAAGTAGCAAATAATCCACCAACTGCTTCAACTGTAATAGCTGTTGATTCTGGTGGGTCATCGGGGCAATTTTTTGCTAGAAACCATTTTTGTCTCAAATCATCAAGTT